CGGCCCCCCCCTGGCCGTCCCCGGCCCCTCCGTGTCCCCACCATGGCTGTCCCTGTCCCTACCATGGCTGTCCCTGTCCCCACCATTGCTGTCCCTATCCCCCCGTGTCCCCACCATGGCTGTCCCTGTCCCCCCGTGTCCCCACCATGGCTGTCCCTGTCCCCTCCAGCAGCCACCCCCTGCATCAAGGCCATCAGCCCCAGCGAGGGCTGGACCACGGGCGGTGCCACCGTCATCGTCATCGGCGACAACTTCTTCGATGGCCTCCAGGTGCTCTTCGGCACCGTGCTGGTGTGGAGCGAGGTACGGGGACGGGCCCGGCGGTGGCCTGGGGACAGCTCGGGGACACCGCTGAGGCCGCGTGTCCCCTCGCCCGCAGCTCATCACCCCCCACGCCATCCGCGTGCAGACCCCCCCCCGGCACATCCCGGGGGTCGTGGAGGTGACGCTGTCCTACAAGGCCAAGCACTTCTGCAAGGGCGCCCCGGGACGCTTCGTCTACACCGGTGAGGGGACACCTCGAGCGGGGTGGGGACACCCGGAGCGGGGTGGGGACACCGGGAGTGGGGTGGGGACACCTGGGAGTGGGGTGGGGACATCGGGATTGGGATGAGGACATCGGGAATGGGGTGGGGACACCGCGAGCGGCGTGGGGACATCGGAATTGGGGTGGGGACACCGCGAGCGGGCTGGAGACACCGCGAGTGGGACATCCGGGATTGGTGTGGGGTCATCGGGAGTGGAGCGGGGACATCGGGAGTGGGGTGGGGACACCTGGGAATGGGATGGAGACACCGGGAACGGGGTAGGGACACTGGGATTGGTGTGGGGACATCGGGTTTGGGGTGGGGACACTGGGATCGGGCTGGGGACACCGGGAGCGGGCTGGGGACACCGGGAGTGGGGTGGGGACACCGGGAGTGGGGTGGACACACCGGGGGTGGGATGGGGACACCGCGAGTGGGACATCCGGGATTGGTGTGGGGACATCGGGATTGGTGTGGGGACACCGCGAGCGGGCTGGGGACACCGGGAATGCGGTGGGAACATCGGGAATGGGGTGGGGACATCAGAATTGGGATGGGGACACTGGGAGTGGGGCATCCGGGGTTGGGGTGGGGACACCGCGAGCGGGGTGGAGACACGGGGAGTGGGATGGGGACACCGGGATTGGGGTGGGGACATCCTGGAATTGGGGTGGGGACACCGGGAGTGGGGTGGACACACCGGGGGTGGGATGGGGACACCGGGATTGGGATGGGGACACCGGGAATGGGATGGGGACATTGGGTTTGGGGTGGGGACACCAGGAGTGGTGTGGGGACACCGGGAGCCGGGTGGGGACACCGGGAGCGGGGTGGGGACACCGGTATTGGGGTGGGGACATCGGGGAATGGGATGGGGACATGGGGGTTGGGGTAAGGACATCCTGAAGCAGGGATGGGGACAGCTGGGAATGGGATGGCGACACCCGGGAATGGGACGGAGACCACTGGGATTGGGATAGAGACGCTCAGGAGTGGGATGGGGACATCTGGGAGTGGGGTGGGGACATCCTGGAATTGGGATGGGGACAGCTGGCACCGTGCCGCACACTCATGGGGTGGGGACCCAGACCTTTGGGACAATGGCGCAGGCCCCCGGGAAGGGGACAGAGCCCTTGTGACAGTGACGCAGACAGCCGGGCCAGTGCTCCAGCCCCTCGGGACAATGTCCCAGCCCCCGGGGAGGGGACAGTGACCCGGCGGTGTCCCCTGTCCCCAGCCCTGAACGAGCCCACCATCGATTACGGCTTCCAGCGGCTGCAGAAGGTGATCCCGCGGCACCCCGGGGACCCCGAGCGCCTGCCCAAGGTAAGGGACAGCGACACCCCCGGGGGACAGCGACACCCCTGGGAGACGGGAACACCCTCGGGGGATGGGGACACCCTCAGGGGACACGGGGACATCCCCAGGGAACAGCCCCAGGGGACAGGGACACTCCCGGGGGACAGGGGGACATCCCCAGGGGACAGGGACACCCCCAGGGAACAGCCCCAGGGGACAGGGACACCCCCGGGGGACAGGGAGACACCCTCAGGGGACAAGAACACCCCCAGGGGACACGGGGACACCGCCAGGGGATGGGGACACCCCCGGGAGACACAGGGACACCCCCAGGGGACACGGGGACCCCCCTGGGGGACACAGGGATTCCCTGGCAGAGCCCCAGGATAGGGGTGACAATTCTTGTGTCCCCCGGGGTCGTTGGAAACACAGAATGGGGGGGTTGGGGACACGGGGGGGACACGGAGGGGACACGGGGGGGACATGGGGGGTCATTGGGGACTCGGGAGGTCACTGGGGACACAGAATGGGGGGGTTGGGGACACAAGGGGGACACAGGGCTGTCATGGGGGGGATCAGGGGTGACCATGGGAGGGACACAGGGGGGGTCATTTGGGACACAGAATGGGGGGGTCAGGGGGGACATGAACGCCATAGGGGGCGGGCTGGGGGTGCAGACCCCCCCACCCCC